GAATTTAAATTCCATTTTTAAATATTTATTTCTTATTTTTAGTTATTTTTATTTATTTTATTTTTCTTTAAATAAAAAGATCTTTCACTCGACCCTTATCACTTTAAAATTTGCTACAGCTTGATAGTTTTTAGTAAATTTTATTACAATTTGGTGATGATGACAGGACCAATCTTCCCAATTTAAAAGAAAAACTAACAAAACAAATCTCTCTAATTTAAAGAAAATAATTGATAGGACCAATCTTTCCAATTTAAAGCAAATAATAACAAAACATATTCTGTTAATTTAAAATAATTTATTAGCAACGAAGCAACAAAACAAATTCAAAAACAAAAATAATTTTAAAAGTTATTGTTATTGGAAACAAATACAACAAAAACAATTTTAAATAGTAATCACAAAAAAAAAACTAAACAAAATAAGGCAAAACAATTATTACAAATTGCTTTAATTTATAAAAACAATTTTCTTTTTCTTAAAACTTTTTTTTTTAACAAATCATTATTTTTTTTTTTAAAAAAAAAAAAAAAAATTTAAAAATATTAAAAATTTTATATATTTATTTTTTTTTTAGTTTGCTAAATTAATATTTTTTTTTCTAAAATAGAAATTCTATTATTTTTACTATTAGTATATTATTTTTTATTTTATTTATCCAACTTTTATAAAAGGTTGAGGCTTTAATGCTATTATTATTTTTTTTATCTAATTTCTATAAAAAGAAATTGAGGCTATAATGCTTATTTTATTATTTTTTTTATCCAACTTCTATGAAAGTTGAGGCTTAATGCTTATTATTATTTTATCCAATTTCTATAAAAAGAAATTGAAGCTATAATGCTTATTTGATTATTTTTATTTTTATCCAACTTCTATGAAAGTTGAGGCTTTAACACTTATTATTTTGTTTATCCAATTTCTATAAAAGAAATTGAGGCTATAATGCTTATTTGATTTTTATTTTTTAACCAACTTTTATAAAAAGTTGAGACTATAATGCTTATTACTTTGTTTATCCAATTTCTATAAAAGAAATTGAGGCTATAATGCTTATCATTTTTTAACTGATTTCTATAAATAAATCGAGGCTATTTAATAGCTATATAATGTAAAAGATATTTATTCTGATTTTATATTTTAATGTTATTTCTTTTTATTTTAAAATTTTTCTTAGCAAACATAAAAATACTTATATAATTATAAAAAAATATAGATCATCATAGAATTTTATTTTTTTTTTACTTATATCATTATATAATTTTTATATATACACAATATTATATCTTTATAATTTTTATTCTTTTTTTTTCTCCTCGTCAAAATTTTTATTTATTATTTTTTTTAACAAAAAAAAAAAACAAAGATTTTTTTTTATTTACAAAAAAATATATATATATATTTCAAATATATATATTTACATATATATAAAAAAAAAAAAAAAAAATTTAATTTTTTTCAACTTCGCTGTTATCAGTCACATGATTTGTCACATCAAAATTTTTATCATATGATTTTTATAAATTACACAAATCGATAAAATTACATTTTTAAAATTTCTAAAAAATCTTATTCAAAGTATGCTATACACTTTAGCACAAATTTATTCCCAAGGTTTCAATGAATCAAACGACATAAAAAATATAAAAAATAAACTTCTTGTTGTAAAATACTATATCTTCGAATATAGGCAATTATTTTGTATATTGTTACAAGATTCTTTTCAAGCTTACAAGTTTTTTATATAAAAAGTGATTCATTAGGTGCATTAGAGCGAGAGCTTTCGACAAAATGCATCTTTGAAATATAGGTACATTATAAGCATAGTGGTAAAAATTAGAAAAAACTATTTTACAATAAGTAGATCGCTTATTAATTCAGGTATAGTTCGTTTCTGTACTTAGTTCGATCTTTTTAGTCTTTATTTTTACTTGCAAAAAGTTTTTTAAAACATTCATCTTATTTATTATGTTATAACACCAATCTCAAATTTGTTTTGAAGTCCAATAATCTTAATCATTAATAACCTTCGTGAGTAACATGATAGAACTTTTATATTCTTCAAAATGTTTTAGGATCTTTTTTTCAACAACTGCTAATTTGCACATTGAATATTTTCTTAGACATGATATGTACTCTAAAGATAGATCGATGATATTACAGTTAGACCTCTCTAAGTGCACACTCTTGGGACCACACTTTAACGATGTACATTTAGAGAATAATAAGAAAAAATGCATTTATAGAGGTCAAGTATATATTTGGGCCAGAATCTAAATGTGCATTTAGAGAGTGTATGCACTTATAGAGGGTGCACTTAGAGAGGGCTGTCTGTAGTTGAATAATCCATAGTATAAAAATAAATTGTGTAACTACAAAATTTCTATTATGCTATATAGTTAGAAACGAAAGACATCTTTTTCAAACTATCTTAACTTCTAAATTAATATCAAATTCATTCTAAATAGAGGTCTGCAACCCGGGCTTATATCCATACTTAACAAAAAGTATAAGAATTTGTATAAGTTGGCACAAGCATGGGCACAAATACAAAAATTTGCCATGAATTTTGTAAGTATGAAGACACGACTAACACTTTAATGCTAGTACTCTGTGCTCATGTCTATAAAAGTGTCTAGTACTTTTGTAATTATAGCATAGACATAGCACAAGACACTAGTGCCTGGTATGGATATTTGCCGATCTCTAATTTTGAATCCTAAGATTAAATGAAGCTAGTAAGTATACTTTATTGTTCAATATTTTTTATAAATAATGTTTATTAAAATTTAATATAAAATTCTTTTATTACAAAAAGATGGGATAAAAATATATAAAGCCAAAAATTTTTATATGTAAGTTAAACAATTATTCACTTGTAAATTCATCATTTTCAGATTGATCATTACTTTCTTATTTTCTCTTTTGAATTTTTTGTCGTTGTTTAAAATTTGCTACAGTATCTTTAACTAAATTTTTACTTGCTCTTCCTTTTGTATTTTTCTTTTTAGTTAAATAGACTTCTTGTGCAAGTAGATCTTGCATACATTCTATTCCGTGTTGATAACAAGTTTCCATATTGGAGTATCCTTTTAAAGTATTTTGCGTTGTATATTCAAAAAGCGAATTACTATTGGGGTCTGGATTTTGAAATACAGCATATATTTGATTACTTAAAGTCCACAATTGCTTACATCAATCTGGTGCAGGATGGTCATCAATATTTATTACAGTATCAATAAATTCGTCAAGGACTAATAATCGTTCGATTTCATCTTGACTTCCTTTTATTTGTCGATGTAAGTTTTTATCATCTCCAGACTTTCTTGTCATTACTTGTTTAACAAACTTGACACCATATGTTTCTAATGCTTCATCATATGCTAGATAATGTCCTTCACATGTAATATTAATGGATGGTACTTGATTTAATCTTTTTTGAAGTTGAGGATTTTTATGCAATTTTCCTAAAAAAATAGCAACTGATTCTGCGTATCTATACTTGCCAATAACTGGAAAAAGAGGTGCAAATGTGGCAAGACTTGCGATTTGCAAATCAAAATCTCCTCTTCGAATGCCAATTTTATGCGCTTTCCAATAACCAGCCCACCAGTAATAATTAAACCAAACTTTTAAAATATTGTTAAAACTATTTTTAATATTATTAATAGTCATTTTGGTATCTTTTAGATAACGATAAATCGCAATTCCAACTGCTGCCCAGATTAATTCAAGAACTGTACAAGTTGCACGATAATCCGAACCTTTTTCTAGATTTTCCAAATATTGAATGCTGAGTAGTACTGCCATGTTAAAAATCCCATATCCAGAAAAAGCAGTAATTAAAACCTGGCACATGTCTTTTGAAGTATGCCATTGTCCAAGAATAATATTAGCAGTAAGGTTTTTATTTTCATAATTTTTAAGTTTTCGAAAAATGGCTTCATCGCATGCAATATCAATCGTGGTAGCTTCTGCGTTTGCTACATCATTCAAAAACATGTCACATGTTTTATATACATTTTTATTAGAATTTGGCGCTGGTCCAGGATCTAGAATTATTATTTTTGGCTTATCAAATTTGCATCCGATTTGAATATTTTCAATAACTTTTAGGTGAATATCATTAATGTCGAAATTATTTATTTTTTCTAAAAGTAATTCTTCAAAAATTCTATCATAATTTCTGTTTAGATTTTCCATAACCGTTGATAATCCAATCGTAACCTGATCCAATTGTTCAGAAAAGAAGATTGAAGCTGGTTGCAAGTCTAAAAGAAGCTTAAACTGAAATACGATTCGAAGAGTAGCATATGCAGTTTTTCATGCAACATTATAAATATTCCCATACATAAATGTCTTTTCTTTTATATCAATATTATCAATAACTAACAGATTGTAAATATTATTTCCAACTTCAAGTCTGTTAGCAGAATTAGAAGATTCCATACGTCATCTTTCTGTACGAACTTCATGATCCCAAATGTAAAAAATAATATGTGTGGAATGAAGAATTTTATAAAGTTTTAAAATCATATGTGAATGTCTACAAAGTGAACCCAAAACATGAGGTAACCAAATTTTCCATCTACAAAAAGCAATTCCTATTATAATTGATACTAAGAAAATTGTAATTTTGTTAACTATCGTTAAATTTAGTAGAATTGATAGTAATCCACGAGATTTTCTTTGTCGTTCTGCGATCTCATATTTTTTTTAAAAAAAACCGTAATAAGGCTGCTAAAAAAAGACCACAAATTTCGGGGCAATGCTCAAGCATATTGTTCAAGAGATTGTGGATTTTCTAAGGTTGGTAAATTGTTTTTAAGCACTATACGAGATTGTCACAAGGATTCTCCAAGAAGATTTCCGAATTGTGCGCATTCCTTTTCTTCTAAAAATTCTGCTTTTGCTTTATCACTTAAATCTATTTTTGCTAATTTAAATGCTATTTGAGTCATTAATAAAGTTAGTAGAACTTGGTTATCAAAAGGACTATAAATTAAATCTTTTGGCAAACCCAATTTTAATGTCTTAATTGCTAGCAATAACGACCAGATAAGTTGCTGTTTTTGTAATTTATCCGATTTTGTCATTAATTTAATCCAATTTCCAAATTTTTCTAGAATTGTAGATAAATCATCATGCTTACTATTGCAACCAAAATTTGAAACTCCATGACCTAATCTTTGATGTAAATGGCCACCGTTAGCTTCAAAACATTCTGAACAGATATATAAGGGTCGTGTGTTATTTGTTGATTGAATAGAAATTAAAAGGCAAGGTTGTAATGCATCACATGATTGTAATCCTAAGCATGGAACTCTAATATTGCGTCCACATACTGTTCACAAATGATTAGAACATCCCTGACCACGCATAAAAAAAGTTTTATATTTATTACAGAATATGCATCGTGCATGATAGAGAATACTTTGGTTTGTTCCTAATGTTTGAATATTTTTATAATGTAGTTGATTTTGATCAAAAAGAAAATGTCGATAACAGATACCAAGTTCATCTAGCTTTTCATTCCATTGCATAATAGTATTACGATCAACTTCCCAAGTGCCTTTGAGTTGGGCAAGAGGCCGATTAGAACCTCCTTCATTAATTCTGTTACATCGTCGTATTTTTTTTTCATTATTGTTATTATCTATAATGACGCAAGATATGTATTTATTGTTTTTTACTGATTGATCTAATAAAATTTCTTCAATATCTTCATCAAATTCAAATGATATATTTTCTTCTGTCGCATTATTAAGATCGTAATCCTCATTTTCGTTATCACTATTCTGCTGCAAAATTTTATTTCTAACATCTTGATATGCGTCAATGTCGAAATTAAGAATAGGAAAGTTTTCTATTTCGGTTGCAGATTCATTATCAGAATCAGAATAGTTCTTATCATAATAAGTGTCTTCCATCTGATTATTATTATGGATTGTAATACTGGGTTAAGATTTTTTAATAGTTTTTGTAAGCAAATATGACAATAAAATTATTTGATTATATAATTGTCTCAATTTTAATTATTTAAATAAATTAATTTACAAAAATTTTGGATCAAAGAAGTTCTATTTATACATTTTTTAATTATTACAATTACGAATGTTTATTACTAATAAAAATTATATTACATGCAGTTTTCAATTGCTTAATCACCCAATTACTTGATTACTAAATTGCTCAGTTACCTCATCATTCAATCACTCAATAACCAAATCACTCAATTACTCAATAACCAAATCGCTCAATCACTTAATTACCAAATCACTCAATTACTTAATTACCAAATCGCTAAAACACTCAATTACCCAATTACTCAATCGCTCAATTATCTAATAACCCAAACGTTCAATTACCCAATTACCCAAATGCTCAATTAGTAAATTACCCAAACGCTCAATTATAGATGCTGGTGAAACTAAATAATGCTAATGAAACTGGTGGCTATCTAAAATCTGATTGGCTATTATATTAAATTTCACCAGTTTCACCAGTTTCACTATCATTCACCAAGAGTTTCACAAGTTTCACCAGCATCTATATGCTCAATCTCTCAATCGTTCAATCACTTAATCGTATATAGGGTTGTATTACAAAAATTACAATTTTATATTTTATATAATTTTGCATAAATTTTAGTAACTCAGCTAGCATTATTGAGCTACAGTAGATTCTGCATAAAGTTCACTGGCCAAATCGATGTACGTATGATCCAACCAATCATATGAGCATATGATTATGTTTTTTACAAATTACATGAAAACCATGTTACTGAAAACTTACGCAAAATTTCACAAAATTACGTAAATTACGGTAATTTGACAACCCTAATCATATATCACCCAATTGTTCAATCACTTAATCGTATTTCTCATATCGCTTAATCATTCAATGGGTCTGGTCCAATTATTGTCATTTAAGTCTAAAAAAAAATAGTCTGTAGCGTCAAAATAAATTTATGTAATGCAATTAACAAAATAATAAAATAACAAAAGAAACAAAGTTGATACTAGTATATGGATAAATTTGAATTGTAACATTCAGCTATGCCACAAGTAAGTGTCAAGATTCGGGGATAGAAAGTGTTGATTGTAGCTTCACCTATTCAATTACCCAAACGTTCAATCGCTTAATCACTCAATTATCCAATCGTTCAATCACTTAATCGTTATTTCTCATATTGCTTAATCATTCAATGGTCTGGTCTGATTATTGTCAAATAAGCCTAATAAAAAAAATAAATAAATAGTCTGTAACATCAAAATAAATTTATGTAACATAATTAACAAAATAACAAAAGATAAGAGCAAAGTTGATACTAGTATATGGATAAACTTGAATTGTAGCATTCAGCTATGCTACAAGTAAGTGTCACGATTCGGGGATAGAAAGTGTTGATTGTAACTTCATCTATTCATTTTTAAATTATTAATTGATCCAGGGTTAACAATTTTCGGCCGAATGTAAAACTTTGACGTGTTAAATTATTACATGATCCCGAAATCATTTATCAAATTGCTTTTTGATTATGACTCTGACCTTGATTCACCTGTATTTATGGGTTTCAAAAGTTCTGTTTAGTAATATGTCTGTTTTGGTAAATTAAATTAGTTTTAATTGGCAACATTAGTGCCTATTTCGCAAATCAAAGTTTAAATTATACTGGATTACAAAAGCCAATTTATACCCAACTTTGCAAGTGAGATTCTTTATTTTTGGTGTTATAAACGGTACTCAAAAACATTTAGTAGGTAGTTGTTATATGTCTTTGCAAGATTCTAACTTGATCTTTGCATAAAAGTATATTCGTTCTTGTAAAAGACAAACGTAAAGTAAATGATTTTGTCAATTTTATATGAAAAAAAAATTTTATCATATGATGTAGATCATTCTAAATTCTATATTAAAATCACTTCCCATGATAATCCCGTGACAAATCGTGTGACTGTTATTATCAAAAGGTTGTGACATTATAAAAGCCTGTTTTATAGATATATCATATTGCTAAATAGTTTTGTTTTTAAGTTTTGTGATGTTGTTCAGCATTCTTTTCTTTTTTTGACAGCAAAATTTTGATGTTTACTTTAAAGTAATTCATATTTAGTGCTTGATTTGAGTATAGCTTTCTGTGATAGCTTGATAGGCTCAAATAATGATATGTTCATTGCTTGATGAATTCTTGTAATAAATTTAACTCTGGCTTTATTGTCTGGCAATTGTTAAAATCTTTTTTCAGCATTAATAAATGAATTATAAAATTCAAAAGTCTATAGACTTTAAATAAAGTAGAATTTTTATAATATCTGACCTCTCAAGAAGCCACCTCTTGTTAATTATTAATAGAGAAATTGGGCTATTTATTGGGATTATATGTTGGCAAGATAACTTGTAATTAATTTTAGTTAAACACTTACAATCATTGGTATTTTTGTATAGAATTTGTTTTTTTGTAATGTTCTTTTTATATGTTCAATTGTCTATATTGATATATTTCTAATAAGTTTACTAAATCTAGAATTATAAAGAGTAAATAGATCAATAGCTATTTTGTTAAAATTTGTACTTATTGCTGCCTTTAAATAATGGGAACACATTGTTTGATCAATTTAATAAAATATACTTTCCAAATTATTAGCAGTTTTGATTGATTATTTAAATATACTATAAAACAATTCAGATCATCCAGTAGTTGATATTTCTATGTGACAGTATTATTTAGTATATACTAATATCCACATTCTTGAATCTTTCATTTACATTTGTATATATGATACTATTTTTTCAAAAAAATTTGCTTTTCTTGCAGTCTTTTTAACTGCATCAAAAAACTAAGAAATCTCTTCTTCAATTTTTGTAAACTGTAAAGCTTCAAACTTCTTCTTGAATACCTCATATTTATTATCAGTTTTAAAAGTTTTCAACAATTGACTTTTAAGTTTTGTTCCAAAAGATGCCAAACACAATATTTTATCTAATATTAAAAATACTTTAGATAAGGCATTTCTTAATGCTTGGTCTCTGTCAGATATAAAGACTTTTGATAAGCACCTATAAATATTATAAATTTTGATACAAAATATTTAAAAGAACCATGTGTATGATGCTTTGTTTTCATCTTTAATTCAGAGTATTGCAATTTGATAAGTTGTTAAAACACCTTTTTTATTACTAATATTATTAATACCAATTACACTAACAAGCAGATATTTATAAATATTTGTTTTATATATAGAGTCTATAATTAAGACTTCAAGACATTTTGCAACATACTTAGCAACTTCAACATGAAAAAAGAAAAGATGAGTTAAATACACTTTTATTATTTTATGAGGCACAACTACATAATTATACTCTTTAAGAAATTTTAGTAATGTTTAAGTAAAATCATTATTATAACCTTTATTTAAAGCAAGTCTAATATAAGCATATTTATTTACTATATCTTTTAAGAGAATTATTCTATCATTACTAATTTTGTTAATAGCTATTGTAATTATATAAGTAGATGTATTACTATCATACAGCTGTTGTACAAGAATTTTTTGACATAGGTTCATAACACAGTGTTAAGAAAAGTTACAACTTCATCTATCTTAAGCTTGGTATAATTATGCTCAAGTATCATTTTTATGATAATTCACTTTATTTCAGTATTTAAAACATCTGTGATAAATTGACATTTTGTTGCAATAGCTCTAATATATACAAGAAAATCCTTATATCTAGTCTTTTTCTTTCTCTTATAAGTCTTCTTTGTAATATTCCAATAGTTGTGCCATCTTCACCTTTAGTGCATTGTAGAACAACAAAAAGGAATTTTTTATTGTGTCTAGTAAGATTACTATCTTTTTTTGAAAAGGCAAATCTCTGATTTTTTGCTGCTAATTGAGCAGTGTTCTCAAAAGCTTCTAGAGATTCAAACTTGTTATTCACTTTAGACATAATAGGCTTAGTCATTTTGATTATAATTCAAATATTATATTGTTACAAAGTAGATTTTTAGCATAGCATAGTATATTATATTATTAGTAGTTGTTATATTTTTATTATCTTTCTTCTTCATCTGAATCTCTTATTATCATCAAACTATTTAAAATATTTTCTTCTTTATTAATTACTTCTCCTTTTTTCATTACTTCTTCTATTTTCTTTCTAATTTCTTTATTTATATAACTCATCCTTTCTCTTTTTTATTCTTGTTTTTCCTTATTTCATTTTAACTCTTCTTTCTTGATTTTACTTTTCAAACTCAACTTTTTATTTTTCAATTTTTGTTTTTCTTTATTCCATTTCAACTTTTCTATCTTAACCTTATTTTTCAATTTATCACTCTCAACTACCAACTTCATCTTTTCATCTTAAACACCTTGATATTTTGATCTTAAATACTTTACTCATTTATAACTAAAAAATGTCCTACTTATCTCCTAATTAAAATTCTCTATCTCTTTAATTCTTTTATATAACTTTTCATATTTTTTTTCTCTATTTCTTACCCTTCTTACTAATAAATAAATCACTATCTTCTTTCTTTTCTTTCTTCAATAAACTCTTAACTACTTTTCTATGCTTTATTTCATCTTCTTGAAACATCTTTCTCTATTCATTTTGACTATTCTCTGCAATTTTCACTTTATGCTCCAACTTAGTATTCTTTTCTTCTAAATGCTTAATTTATTCATCTCTCTTATAAAATAATTTTATTAATATTATAAAAGATTATTTCTTATAAATTATTAAATACTACTACATCTTATCTTTATTCTTCTCATCTCTATTATAATAATATTATTATTATTATTATTTTTTTTTTTTTAATGTTAAGGTGAGTAATTGCAACCCAGGAGTTTATTGATAATCAGTTGGCATATAACTATTGTATATAACAGCTACAGAGGCAATCATGAAAAGAGTGTACAACTAGCCACTTGTACAACTTTAGTCATTGTCTATTTTAAGTA